ACAGACACACTCTTTAAAATATATATATAGGTACATATATATCCTCGAAAAGATCTTAATGAATGTAGCTCTCTATAAACATAAACCAGCTGCTTTAGATAACAAATTGAATGCCTTTTACATAATAAATTAGATTCAATATTTTTAGAAATAAAACGCAATTTGTAAATATTAAAAAAAAAAAATGAAGCCTTCCTCGAACAGAAACGAGCAAACACTTAAAAATACATCTCTTATATAGAATATATCCAAAACGTCTTCCATCACATGCCTGCCAATCAATCAATCAATCAATCCATTACGATTTCTTATTTATATCAATATCGTTCTAGCTTTCAAATGAAGGACATTGAAACTTCGTTTCAGTCTATCAGGCCAAATGCTTGTCATTTATTTGTGCCTCGGCATTTGCTCTGTTTGTATTTGTTGTTGCTGTTGTTGGCACAAACGCAACTTAATTTAAACAAATAAGAAAATCGTCCCGCAAAAAGAAGAACAGAGCAAGCAAGCCTAGAAATCCAGTTCCCTAAGCAGCTTAGCATTTGATAAGAGCCCGACACTCAGGCAGCACGTAGATGATTTCTGATTTCTGATTTCTGGCCTMGGCCAAGCCCCCGTCAAAGTTTCTTTTTCACTTTTGTGATTTGTGTTTGTTGTCTTTGCCGACTTGGCTGACTAATAATGATTGTCTCATCGACACACAAACACACACACTCACACGCATACGCACACATATCACTGTTGATCTAGAGCAAAGGACAACAAAAATGGCGCTCACTTAATTTACTGTACAAATAGCTTTGGCTAGTTTTGCTGTTGTTGCTGTTGTTGTGTTGTTGTTGCTGTTTGCTCATGTCGTGAACGTCGTAAACTTTGTCACTGACACCGTAAATAATTCAACACACGCGTGTGCCACACACACACACACACACACACGTATGCACATACATAAGTAGCAGGCAAGTTGCCAGGGCCAGTCAAACGTCATGTCAACTGTGGTTTATGTGTCACAGCCCCACCCATCACACCCCCACGCCCACTCCACCGCCCCCGCTCACTGCTTGGGCGATCCATTTGCCTCCGCTGATTTGGTCTAAATTTGATGGCGCATTCAGCGCATTTCCCATTGCAGCTTCCATTTGATAATTAAAATGTGCGCACACATTACACACACACACACACACACAATGCACACACATACATGGAGTTTTCTTCAGCGTTAGGCATGTTGTTTTCCTGCACATTTTCAATTTGCTTCATGTCATTGACAGCATATCCAATTTTTACTTGAATGACATGCGCTGCGTTCACTTTTTCATATAAAATTTCTTTCATTTTTATTTTTTATTTCCTTTATTTTTTTATTTGGCTTTCGATGTTGTTTACAAAAGACGCGCGCGCTCGCAAAAAAAATGAACATGTTCTGCTGCAGCCATGCGAGAAATTGTAGTTGCTTTTGTGTAGAAAACACAATAGTCTGCTCTTCTTCTTTTTTCCTTTTTTTTAATTTTTAACAAAATTTTGTTCTTTTTGTATTTTTGCAATTTTATACACTCTCTAAAATGTTTAAATAAATTGAGCTTCCACATGTAAGCGAGCCATTGAAATTGCGTTTGAATGCATTCGTGTTGTTCAAATGCGATCAAAATTAAAAAATATATGGCAGACTTTATTTTGATGACTGTTATATTTCTTTAAATAAATAAAATGAAGTTCTTCCAAATTTAATTTAAACATTTTATTAGTTTTTG